CCATCTGATCTTATGGGTTGATTAATGTGTGTTACCCGCCACAGTCCGGCGCATGTTTTTGAGATTGACCTCAAATTTTGCGTCGCTCACTTGAACAGATTTGACACTGCTGCGAATCGAAACCTTCCAAATGACAAATGGAACCCGGCAAATGCACGTGTCACAGGCTGCCCCTTGTCCATGACAACCTGTTCTCTTCCGCCTCCGATTGCTTCGGGCATCTGCTTTTCAGACTTCCCTGAATCAACCTGCCAAGAGAAAAACTGATGCAGTAATGAGCATAGGAATCTCTGTGAATTGCGAATGTGGGCCTTAGGCTCATCCGCGCCATCTGAATCCTGCTTATTCCCTCCCCGCCCTCTAAAAGCTTTATCGCACTGAGCAAGTCCGCGCCTCGGAGCTGTCTGCAGAGCGCTCTTCCTCCTGCCATCATGCCACTTCAAAGTTCTGTTGGCAGGCGTAGGACTTGCCGACCGCTGTTGCCTTTGCCTGCCTCTATGCCAAACCCCCGAAGGAAAAAAAATGACTCCATGCCCGAAACATGTTGCAGACCAAGGATGAGCTCGCAAGCCCAAGACACGCCTTCTTCTTACCTTTTTTGGCCTGAACAGGGCTGCATTTCGGCAGTCATGGATGAAAGCTACTGAGGATGTCGGTTCCGCGCCTTTTTGCCTCAGCTGCTCTCTAGACAGCGGAGTCGGACAAAGGATGCGGAGAATTTGCGGCTGCAATCCATGCATTGCAAGCGACGCTTCTTTTGTTCTTTTCGTTTCTCTTTCTTCTTCTCCTTCCTCAGCAACACCCAACGAATTCCTGTATGATCTGTCTATGGGTGTGGTCGATGCCCTGCTTTCTCAGGCAGAAGCTTGCTTGTGGCTTTCTCCTAGCCATCCGCAGGAGTGTTCCAGATCTATGGCCCCTTTAGGTCCCTGTAGTATGCTGCGCCATATTCCACAGAGTAACATGAGTGAGACAGTGGGATCTTGGTTTTGGGCACATGGCAGCCGTGGCAACAGCATCAGCAGCAGCGACGACGAAGAACAGCAACAGCAGCAGCAACAAGAACAACCACCACCGACTCTGCCACCATCACCACCACACTGAAGTCATGACATAGGAGCGAATCCGTGTCCTCTGTCTCCTTCTTGCCGAATTTCAAGCCAGCCAACATGGCTCTCGGCGTCACTGGGCATGGCCAGTGGGGAAGGTCACAACTAGCGCCAGGCGGCAGCGAGCAGTCGAGTAAAGTATTTCACTTTTACCCTCCTCGCTTCACAATTCAATCAAACGAGCTATCAAAAGAGCTGAGGGCCACACGAGGGCCTGTATCATATGTCATATGGTTAAAGACATTCGTGCAAGAAGAATATTCATGGCGCAGATCGTGTCTGCACGATGGCGGCCACATGAATGCTAGATCGTGCTAGCACAGTGGGATAGCATATCTGCTTTGCATCACATGGGTTAGAGCCGTGATGGGCTATCAGCAAGCTCCAAGATTCCCATCCATCACACTCAGCTGGATTGGCTACAATGCGTCCTCGCGATGGCGTGGCTCGTGCAGTACAGGCTCCCGTGGAACAAAAAACCTTGACGTCTCCCACAAGACACCATAAACTTCTGAGATTCCCGGCGAGGCCGAGGGCGGTACGGTTCAAAATGCAGACTTGCACCCAGCTCGTCACTCGACCCTAGGCGCAAGCACGATACCCATCTTGTGAGATGAGGCCGGAAGCTCAGGCTGCTGCCAACTGTGTCAAAGGCTGGCATGCTTCGAGTTGGAAGTCCTACCTACATATGCAGTTAGGCAATCTAGCAACTCCACAAATTTCATAGAAATTTCAAAACCTTGCCTGGGCCACTTTGGGCCTTCGCTCCTCAAAGCCAATGACAACCTTGCCCAGCGCACAGAAGGACATACGACCTGCCCTCAGGTACTAGTAGATGCTGCCTCCTTGGTATGAGGGTGGCTGCAGAGGTCTTCGGGTGTCTGAGCCCTGCAGGCACGAATCTAGGGGAGTGCCAAAAGCCACCTCCTGCGCCTGGACGTTCTGCTGGACTTGGCTCCCGCTTGCAGCAGGTAGAAAGATACGTCCTGTCTACTTTTTCGAAGGATGCACACAACCCTGCGGCGTCGCTGACCGTCGCCTGGCGTCCCATGCAGCTCGCCACGTGCAGCGGTGTCCATCCCGCGCCTCACTGCACAGAGCCCTCAGTACACACGCCACGGCAACTGACATCGCTGCACTGGGGCACCGCACAATCAGCAGCATTGACGTCAGTACAACGAAGGACAAGGTCCTCGACAGGAGACATGTTCACAACATTGTCGTAAGCGGTAGCTTGCTCATCAGTCCTTCACGACCTGATAGCTGCCAGCTCTAGCAGCAGCGTGTAGAAGGGTTGTCCCATTGCTGTCGCAGGCCTGTTTCAAATATTGGCATCATTGCATCACAGTTCCGTTCCTGCCTGTTTCCTGCGATGCCTGCGGATTGGCGCCATAAACGAAGCACCATCTCAGGCCGGCTAAGTTTGATGAGCCTGCCAGCATCCCAGTCTGCAGGGCGTCCAGCATCCCGTTCGTTTTGTTCGACCGACGCGCCTGCGAAGCTGAAGCTGGCCTTGTCCTGCAGGCACTGTGTGGTCTCTGATGGCTTGTGCTTGGCTTCTAAGCTTTTGAGGCCACTGCCATGTCGCTCAGACAGGCCGATGTCAGAGTGTCTTCGAAGAAGGCACCGGCTGGGTCGCAGCTGAAGTCTGTCTCCAGCTCGTCCAGACCACATGGCCTCCTTCGAGTGCCGCAACATGTCGCTCCCAGCCCATGCTTGGATCTCACAATACAGATCACACGGTCCGACTTCTGCACCAGAACATTTTGCAGTAGCTGCTGGACCAGTTAACGTACTATCTAATGGGCTAGTAGAACAAACCTTGGGTTCTTGGAATGCCCCAGACTAGTGCCTAGAGCAAGAGAAACCTAATATTTCTATCCACAACATGCATGCTAAAGCCTCATGCAAGCACTCTTCAGTCTGGGGGCTGTGGGATTCCAGAATAGGTTCACATTGTTTTCGTGGCAGGTTATCGTGCTTTCTTAGATGCTGGAGGATTGATTGGTGCATCGCCGCTTGAAGCCCGCAATACCGCATAGCACCGGAACCAGCTCAACTCAGCACCACAGGCAGATAGACAAGCGATAAGGCCAGCAACCTTACATGTCCTTACCTAGGAGTGCTGGCACCAGAGCCCGCTCCCCGGAAGCGTGGCATATCATGGCATCACTCCGTGTTGATCGCCCTGCTTGTTTCTTGTGCTCCTGGGTTGGCCGTCATCGTCCGGACACAAAACTTCCAAACTTCAGATTTCCTCAGTTAATTCTGAGGATGCTCCCGAAACCAAAAAACAGCCATATGCCGAAGCTTGCAAACGATGGTTTCTGCAACACCGTGGTGTCTTGACTTCCTCGCAAGGGGTGATCATGGCAGGGGAGTTTGGGCCTTCAACTCCGGCTCAGCCATCAACTGAGATGAGAAAAACAGATGGTCAAGAGCTTCATTGACGGACAGAGGAAGTGAATGTGCAGAGAGAGAGAGAGAGAGAGAGAGTGCACACGCAGAGCGAGAAAGCTTCCAGTTTTCATGCAAGTATTTGTGCCTACAAGCGCCAGAAGCAGAGACTCTGAAAGTGTGACGCCCTCAGGCACAAAGGCAGGATACGTGGACTGTTGCCCTGAGAACACGCTGCTGCTCATGCACTTATCTCTCCGGCTTGGTAGAGATGCAGTAGCCGGGACCAGAGGCTCACACCTCTTGTTGCTGGCAACTGCCCCCAACCTCTGATGAGGTTGATGTGTCACAATAGCTTCTTCGACAAGCAGCTCAAGACTGACGAAGCCTATGAGTGAATTTTCTTGTCTAAAAATGGGAATTGCCCTCACTGCAGACTCTCTCCTGCAGAAGAATGCTCGCGAGTCCTGTAAGAAGCACACTAGTGGGGGACAGACAAAAGCACAGCAGCAGAAAAACGCATCCTGGCGATCGTCGATGAGGCTGCCCTCTTTTGCGCAGCAGCCGCATGTGAGCTGTGCAAAGGCAGTCAAACTCTCGCGATACAAACTACATCCATCTCAAAGCTGTTGGAACAAGGGCTTTCGGCCTGCGCGCCCATATGCCAAGTGCCACGGAACTCGCGGAAAGCTCTGCTGTTAGTGTGGCAGGTTTTTATACTCCGTTTTTGATCTTTCACGGCAATCTGAAACATAAGCAGAAAGCCCGCAGACTGGAAGGAATGTCACAGCGGGGAATGAAACTTTAGCCTGGCAACTGTTTGTGCAAGACATGCTGCGGGACAAGGTTGTAAACAAAGCAAAAGCATGCACAGAGCCTCTCCTGCTGGCTTAAGGTGCCTTGAATTTTGTTTCGAACAAATATCCAGCTGCAAACTGTGAACACCGCTGTAACGCAATTCGCGTCACTCTTGGCTTGTAGCAGAGGTTCAAGCTGAGATCTTCTCACTCTCGAGCCCCCCCAATAAACTATGCACAAATGCTCAAGCGGCCATTTCACAAGTTCGTGCAAGAACATCGGATGACTGCACTTCATATAACAGTGACAGATTTATGATTGACGGCACTTGCTCAGATTTCCTGGAAAACCAGCACGTCTATGAGTCTGTAACACAAACCTGGGTCACTGGAATTGGGAGCTAGCTCCGCCCCTTCATCTTCAAGTTAAGGATTTGCATCTGGTAATCCTCTGTGATCTCCTGCGTGTGCGCAAGCTTCTCTGAGTTCCCAGTAGCATTTTTCGTGGAATCCGTCCCGCCTTCAAATGCTTCTGCAGTTGCTTCAATTGCTCTTCAGCCACGGTGGCCCGCACCAGCAGGGCTGACCTGCACCGGACTTTACTGTACCAATACATCAGTAGCCAGCAAAAACCGGTCCCCAACGCCTCTCAGCCTCCAGGTCACGGACACTTTTCTCGAGGAACGTTAGACGCTGGGCCTTAAGTGCGATGGGTTTTGGGGGTTCGTCTTTCTCGGCGGCTTTAATTTGAGAATGCTTTGTGTGTGCTTACAATAATAAAAATACTGGTCTGAATTTGGGTTCCCGCCTGCACTCGTCTGTCGGGAGGGGTCTGCTGCTCCAGGAACGCTACCCGAGCCTGACCAACCAGCAACAAAATCATCTTGCAATCCAAACGAGCCAGCGCCAGCACCTGCAACGAGCGGTTCAGTTCTTGCAGGTCTGCCTGGCAATTTGTGACACACAAAACACCATTCCAGAATCGGAAAACACTCGACTTACAAGGTCTGATAAGCAGGTCAGCAGGCATTCGCAGATGCGTTCGCGGCAAAGGTGTTAGCACTCCGCAATGCTTGAACCTACAACGTGCACGGATGACAGTCAAATTTGACCTGAATAGATTGTTTGTCCGCACAAGCTGTCGTGTTTCTTGTGCTGGCCTCTTCAAGAAGTCGATCTTGAATCCTGGCATGAGACAGCAGAACGCGGACGGAAATTCCTAAACCAACATGATAGCTGGCTCGGTTCCCGTCACAAGTTCAAGTGTTGCAATGTACATGCCAGCTCGACTGTGTCAACCGACCGGGCTCCAGGGCGTCTTGCCTCTTTGCGTCTGGACTGAGCTACATCCGCCGCACTCGTTTTCAGTCTGTACTGTCTTAGTTGGGTCAGGGGGGGGTTACGGCGAATGCGGAAGGCAAAGCAGGAGGACAAGCACCTGCGTTACCACCGCCAGAAAGAACGAAGATACAAATCGGGCGGGTTGCGGCCGCGCAAAACCTCACTTTCACTTTTTGGCATCATGTGAACTTTCATGGGCCCAACCCTCAAAGTCAGCAGGGGCAAGCTAGCCAGGGGCGCAGATGCAGTTGGCAGCGTACCAAGCAGGGGACGCCTCGAATTACTGCCGAGGAAGGGGGCGGCCTTCAACCCTGGGCAGGGATTAGGACAATCTATTTGTTGCGGTCTCTTCTTTATGATTTTACAGTGTGCAAGTCTTTTTATCTGAATCTATGACTAGTACTATTTACATTTTACTACAGGATTACATCGAATTCATGTTCTCTTTGGATGGGAAACAACACCATCACACAGGATGTGGCAGCACTAAGTCGTCTGCTATCCCGCCCCAGAAATGCGAAAGTCATAGAACGTCAAGACGTTCTATAGAGAGTTGGATGCGGCAATTCGCGATTACATACACCTGCATAGACTGATGAGGACTCAAATGCTTCATGAAAGTGCGATGCACTACACTATTGCTATGCAACCATAGGTTTGACCACGAACCTGATAGAAGAATGCAATACCGATTCCTGAACACGAAGCACACCTTTTTGCTGGTATTGGTATGCGAAGAACATGACAATGCTGAAAGCAGTAAAATGCAAGACAGTTGAAATCTAACAAGCAACAAAAAAACAAGCGAGGGGAAAAGAGACAAAACACTGAAAGTTAAGGTAAGTCCAGGAAGCCATCGCCGTTGGAGACATGCTCAACAACGAGAAGCCACCCACATCTTTGGCAAGATCGCAAGATCCAAGGACAAGCGTGTCGCAGCAAAGGGAACAAATGTGCGAACAAGAAACTGTCACAGGCCAGCCTGCAAACTGTTTTGTCAAAAAGGTGCCAGTGCCACAGGTTTCCAGTATCCCAGTAACTGCTGCTGGATCAGCTTCTGCCAGTCTGCATAGATTCAATGATTCAAGCCCCCAAGCCTTAGGAGTCGCGGTATTTCTTAATCATTGGTTAGGCAAATTGTCAGAAACAAACTCATCTTCGCAGCATGCAGCTTGACCACCTCAGGCGCTCAACTTCTTGATTCATGGTCTCTTGAATCCTTCCACGCTCCTTGCATGCAGAAGCAAATTCGTGAGCATGCTCAAGTGCAAGAGTTCCTTAGAGAGAGCCTCCTCCACATGTTGCATGGATTCGGCCAAACGCCCCTCTCGGAGCTCCAAACGCAGCGCCTGCACACGGTTCTCCAAGTCACCTGCCATACCAAGTGCCCAAACAGAACACTCCAAACGTGTGAAACCAGAGCATTGACGGCACCTTTCTCGACTTCTTTCTGGATCTCAGCTTGGATCTTGGCTTCAGATGCAGCGTCCAAGCGCTTACGTAAATCCTCAACAGGCAGATCCTTGTGTAGCTTTCCTGCATGGATCGACGGGCACCTGTAGTTAGAAGTATACTGGACCGACACTGTGAACAAATTTGTCGACCCGCATCAGTCACGGCTCCTCGGACACAGTCTCCGCATTGTGCAGCTGTTCTCGGAGCTCCGAATGCAATGCTTGGACACGGTTCTCCAAGTCACCTGCGATACCAAGAGCCCAAAAGAGAACGTTCCAAATTGGCTTGGACGGCACCTGTCTCCGTTTCTTTCAATATCTCAGCTTGGATCTTGGCTTCAGATGCAGCGTCCAGACGCATGCGTAAATCCTCAACAAACAGAGCTGTAGCTTTTATCGCACTGGAATGCTGTTTGTTGGACTGCATCAGTCATGTCTCCTCTGATACGCTCTCCGCATCGTGCAGCTGTTCTCTGAGCTCCAATCGCAGCGCCTGGACACGGTTCTCCAAGTCACCTGCAATACCAAGAGCCAAAGGAGAACGCTCCACATGCGTTCAGTGAGAGCATAAATGGCGCCTTTCTCCACTTCCTTCTGGTTCTCAGCCTGGATCTTTGCTTCAGATGCGGCGTCCAAGCGCATGCGTAAATCCTTGCAGACTGATGGGGGCATCAGCACTTGTCACGAGACGAATACTGGTCTAATATCCGAAAGACATTCGGACTGTATCAATCACGTCTCCTCAGACAAGCTCTCCCCATCGTGCTTCCGTTCTCGGAGCTCCAAACGCAGCGCCTGCACACGGTTCTCCAAGTCACCTGCCATACCAAGTGCCCAAACAGAACACTCCAAACGTGTGAAACCAGAGCATTGACGGCACCTTTCTCGACTTCTTTCTGGATCTCAGCTTGGATCTTGGCTTCAGATGCCGCGTCCAAGCGCATGCGTAAATCCTCAACAAGCAGAGCCTTCTGTAGCATCTGCAGCTTTCCAGACGGATCGAGGCAAACGAATACCCGCCCGACATCCGGAAAACATTTGGGCTGCATCAATCATGTCTCCTCGGCCAAGCTCTCGGCATCGTGCAACTTTTTGGCCTATCAGAGGTCCAAATACCTAACCCGTTAGAAACAAGAAGAATCGATGCCTGCTTTCCAGCAAACTCAGCAGTCATCTTCTGTGAGGACTCCTGGAAGAGGGTTATTTACTTGGCACACGCATCCGTAAAACTGCTGATGTGGGTCGTTCTTTTGGTTCCTGATTAGAAATGGCAGAGATGCGGCTGCTGCTGCCGTAGCCACCATTACGGCTCATTACGACTGTTACGGGGATTGAACGGATTGAAGGGCAGCATTTTCAGGTCTTCCGCACGGCACCTCTTGCTCAGGTAAAGGGCCGGAAAGCATTTCTCCCATTAGTACTCTCTGATGCGCGCATGAACCGATCCGATCAGCACTGTCAATGTTTTGAGAAAAGCTCACAGCAAAAATGCCTGGTAGAAATGCCCTGGAGCGCCTGGCAAATAAACTGAAACTATTTTCGACAGTGTTTGCGGGCAGATCCCATGCTCAGACGTTTACTCTTTCGACATTTCAAACTCATGCCTCGCGCGTATTGAAGTCTGATGAGTTGCATTGGCTAGCAGACAGTGTGTCACCGGAGCAACAGAAGGTTCAACGCAAGATCACGATAAGCTCATAACGCAATGCGAAATCGACCTTTGTCCGACCACTCTCAAAGCAGTGGCTGGATGTTTGATGACCCAAAGAATGTGGTTTTAGATGACATGATTCCACACAAATGACCGGTTCCCGCTCGTCTGTACAAGGATTACCGAGACGGGAGGGAAAATTGCACATGAAATAACAGGCAAGGTGCAAACGTGATAATTTGCCAAAGCTCCAAGCCTTAATCCCAAACAACAATGGATACAAAGTCATGCAAAACCAACAGCAAACGGTTCGCATGCAAGTCTCTTCAAAAGCATCAAAGAAGGAGTCATCACTACTTCTGAGACTGCAACGCAGAACACAAAAGCTTGAAGGCAAAATTGAAGTAAACCTACAGCGCAAACTCACCCCTTCCAACCATTCTCAAAGCATGGCTAGATGTGGTAATTTCCATACGTATACCATCGATGCTCGAAGACTCACCTTACCTGGTCTTCGATAAAATGATTTGCGTGGGATACGGAATCCAGAGTCATTTCATGATGTTGGCATCTTTGGAACATGGAAGGCACGACAATGAACCAGGTAAGCGACACCGAAACCCAACTTTTGTCGGAAGTGTACGCTTGGAAAACCGACTGTTTGCTGTACGTTCAGGCCGGGGAAGCTGGACGATTCTTGGGGAAATGCGGACATCTGATGTTGAACAAGAGAAGTTGGAGCATGGAATTGAAAGATTCAAAAAAATACAAAGCGTTGCGGAAAACTGCTTGCTTTTGCGAAGCTCTGTCGAGTAAATACGATGAAAAATATGATCATTTGATGAAATAAGGCCATCTTCAAACAAGCCAACCTAATATGACTGATATCAATGTCTCGTTTTTGCAATCTTTAGACCAAAGTTCACCCAAGAGTGTCGAGGCAGGAACCACTGCCGCAGAGAACTTAGTAGTAGACAAAGAGGGCGCTGCCCGCATCGCCAGAAAAGGTCGTAGGAGCCGACACAGTTGCCGCTCCAACATCGAGTCGGGCGAAGTGTGTAACCGGCGAAGTGCCGTCGAAGTGCAGGGGTCCGCATCTGGCGCTCATTTTGGTTGTTTAGCGTCTCAAAATTTCATGTTGTCTGACGCAGAGACAGAAAACTCCAGAAGCCGTCGCTCTACTTGCAGCCTTCAATCGTCTGAGCCTACCACCTTAGATAGATTCCATGCAAAGAAAGTAGTCATCAAAACAAGTTAGCGCAGAAGTCACAGAGGAGCGCGACGTGCAATTTGCCAAGCTCTGCTGTTCTCTCCATTTGCCTTCTGAGAGGAATTGTGCAGCTCTACAACCGTCAAAACCCGGTCCTGCATTTCGGACACCTCGTGCTCAAGCATCATCAGTAGAATGTTGTCGGTGTACTGTATTTCGCCTTTGCGCAGACATCATTGAGCAGTGTGAGGAGCAGTGTGAGGAGCACTGTTCAGACCATGAGGACTGTTCAGAAGTAGTTATTTCCAGGCCACTCAGCTCATCCTTGGCTTCCGAGGCTTCCATCTCCGCCTCCACCTGAGCCAGCAGAGGCAGGCATGCGCAGCGTGCACTATTGGTGCTCGCAGCCCAACACCTTGGGACTTGGCCAATGACTGCATCGCCTTCAACTGCTCCTCCTCAGCACCCATCAGCCTCTCGTTCACCAACTCCTGCGACAACTGCAGCCAAGGAATATTTGAAAACAAGTTTATCACTGAAATCAGGCGCACTGCTCCAGCATGAACTGCGCACACAAACATGGGTGCATCATGGTGCATCCTGGTTCTCCAAGGCAGAGACATACCTGTCCTGAAATAGGTTGCTCGGACACAGCAATGTCTGCGAGTGCAGGAAAACAATTGACTAGCTGTAAGCAGGGTATGACAGGGAACGGCATGCTGGACGATGTTCTCGTACCACGCTTGAACAAGCAGATGCACTGTGCCCTACAGTCCTGAAAAGAATTTGCCCGGTCTTGGCGCGCCTGGTGCGGCAAACTTATCACGGCTTCTCAGGCTTTCTGGACGCGAGCAGCAGGACAGCATATGCTATGCCAAGTCACATCGGCCATTCTTTGGGCTTCTTCCTTCTGCCTGCCATTCGTCACTTGCTTGCACAAACCTGCCGGCCTATGCTGGCACGAGTCTTGTCTGTGTGGACCTTTCAGCATTGGCCAATCGCTTTTCCAGCTCCATGACAAGGCTCCGCGTGTCGCGATCGACACTGCTCCCTCCTCTTTCGATCGCCTGCTAGCAGGTGTTCTGAATCCATATAAACCCAGAATATAGGCAGATCAAACAGCTCTAACAGATGCATCCCTTGACCTGCTTCAGCATTAAGCGCTCGGAGCGTACTGCCCTTGCCCACCCTGCAACTCTATGATCTTGCGTAACCTCAGTTTGTAGGCAAGCAATGCCAAGACAGCCATACGCTACATGGTCAACCGCATCGTCTATTTGCCAAGCATCTGGGTTTGTATATACTTTGGAAAAGTCCTCCATGAACTCCATTAACGCGATGCCTTAGATGTGCCATGCAGCTGCCTCATGAAAGCATAGGCTTTGCCAGTCTTGTCCTCTTTAAAACAACAAACCCTGTTGAAGCACACTAAACTTCTGTGCCCGGAAACTGATGGCAGGCTTGCCCTGCGCGACACAGAATAAGAGATGCACCTCCACACTGCCACCTGGACACTCAGGCATGACCCTTTTGCATGCTAACCCGCCCATGTCTGTGAACTGCGACGCCTGTAAAGACATCTCGAAGAAGCCATGTCAAGTAGGATCCATTCGCATCTCCAGGTTCGCCGCTTTTCCACGACTTGACCAAGCTGCGCATGTGGTATACCTGAGTCAAGCACACACTGATCAAAGCTTATGATGGAGCAAATGTTAAGCAACCAAAGCTGGAAAGGACTTCCGCAAGCATCTGGGCCGCAGGCACCGCGATAGCGATCAAAACCCTCACGAAGTTGAACCAAACCCTTGTCCTCAACTGACATGTGTTCAAGTGCGTTGACATATCTTTAGTCGGTTTTCCCATCATGAAAGAGAAGACTACAATAGAGCTCCTCCGCCAGACAGTCCATAACTGCTGTTTCCAGAAGAATGAAACGTGCATGAAGTCCCCATCCTTCATAATAATCTGCCTGATGGGACAAGCCGTACACATACCCGTACACGTACCACAAAGGCGAGGCGGAAACCCAAATGGCTGGCTGCGCCTGGGTCACGTCAATGACAAACGCGGTGCCTCCTTGATGTCTTTTTTCTGGATCTCGACGTCTCTGAGCAGCTTCAACGTATTTCATGAACTCCTGTGCTCTTGCATTGATGTTGACACTGACCAGAGCAAGAAGAGTGCAAGTCGCTAATCAATCTTCCATCTGTTCAAGAAGTTGCATGCAGATGCGACCCAACACTAACAGCCTGATGCTCAGGAGCGCTTAGAATGTGCAAGCGAAGCGCGTCGGCTGATGTTGCACTAGCTGTGCGGACGCCTGCCCACTCAAGCCCAGCGGGCTTTCAAAGCAGACTGTAAACGACAGTGGGACCAAATGAAAATCCCAAAACGGCTGAAGCAACTGTGCTGGCCTTCAACCATGACACCTTGTGGCAAATCTACCAATCGTGAAGCTTCTGGCGAATCAGTCAAGAGGTCGACAATGGTATCGCCAGAGAGGTGGAAAGTCTGCAGCCTCCAATGCTAAACAAAGAGAAGGCGCCCTGAATCTGCACTGAAGGGTTTCGTCCCACCTCATGTGATATGTGTATCCGACAGCACCGTTTGCGCGGTGGCTGGCCTTGAGGTCACAAGTCCTATGACAAGGACTGAGAACGCAACATTCGGCAATCATCAGGCCAGCCTGACGGTCATGCAACTCCGATGCCAACTGCCACACTGCTGCTGCCGCAAGCCCTTCAGCACCATCCATCAGTTCAGCCTGACGACTCAAAAAAGGGCAAGTTCCAATCGTGGAATACTCATGAGCAGAGAGCCTGTGCACCATCGGAAACACCAGCCACGAGAAGGACAGCATCAGTGCCTCAGTTTGGATCCGAAAAATGGTATTAGTACGACTACCTGCCGTAAAGTGCATCTGGGACCTGAGCCATTCAGAACAGCTTCCAGCGTCGGAGCTAAATCGCACATGATGACGTCCTCGCTACATGATACCAAACATACGCCATCTCAAACACCCACAATACAATTTTGAAATCCTCGTTTGTGGAATCTGGCCCATGGACCATGTCGGCGCGAAATTCCCTGAAAGGTCTGATCACCAGTACACAAAAAAAAAACGGACAGCACAGTGTTTGATGACCACATGTGCCCCAACACCACCAGCCTTGCTCGCAAAGCTTTGGGATCTTTGACTTCGACAAGAGTACCGACGGCAGTCACATCTGGTGTTTTCTCGGTGTAATCCTCATCACGTAAATGCTGGAAAGTAAAAACTACAACAAGCAAACCCCCACTACAATGCAAGCTCCATCCTGCCATTCTTCGTCCCACACCCACGGTGATCCAATCTTGACAGAGCATCGCACCTGCTAGCCCAGGAATACCAAATACCGATCATCGCTCGCATGTAAGCTGTTCAAAATGCCGACTGAGGCAACGTCTTTCGAAGGTTTCAGCAATGCGTCATCCATGTAGTGTACATGTGCGTTTCATTGGGACTCAAACCCATGAAGACAAAGTCGTGTCCTTTGGGCTGTTGATTGTCATCTACGTTTATGTCAACTATAAACTACATGATGCCTGCATCTGCCAACCAATGCAAAACAACATCCATGAATTCCTGCGCGATGTAAGACATGCTGAAATGAAAAAATGCGATTCTCTCATCACTCCATCTATTTACAAAGAGTTCCTCAAGCCCGGGATCTCATCGGCTGAATACACTTCGTTTGATTGTGGAAAGACTTTCTTCTAAAACGCAAAAAGTCAATATGAACTGGCTGGCAATAAATGGCCTTCAGAAACTCGAATATTTTTAAACTTGGGTCTCACATCGAAATTTCATGAACAAAAGCACTGCTCCATCTGCCACCCGGAACCCACGTCCAACTCCAACAAGGCTTCTTCTAATTTGTCTACACGTCCAAAGAACATCTGTTACCAAACTCAAGCGGAAATCGTTGTCGGCGGGACAAAACATTTGTGAAACCACGCTGTGGGCAAAGCAAAGCAAACCACATCCAAAAATGTTGTGCACCAAGAGGGCAACATGCAGAATTTCGTACTAACGTACAACCGTTTCTGCTTGCTGCAATCGTTCCCCTGTTGCAATAACAGCAATGCAGCAATGCCGAGTTCTGCAACAAGTGACGGAAACAAGAATAACAATCCAGGCGAAGCACACCCGATGTTAATTAAGCCCATGTGGCACTGTTTTTTCCTGAGCGCTCCGCAGAAGGGTTCCCGTTTGCAGGTTGGGTCCAGGGTCCAGGGTTCAGGGAGTGACCAGAAGTCGTTGCGCCTGTGTCGCAAGCGTCCGCAGGTCCGCAAGCGTTTGCAAGCGTTAAACGCCTGTTCCGTACGCTTGCCCTAAACTCTCACACAAGGCGGACGGCGGTTCCTTCTTTTCACTGGAGGTGCTCGAGCTGTGGTGGTTGGCGCCAGCATATTCTAGCCCATTTTCAGTTTCGAGCATCTCTATGTAGCAGGCTGCTTCCCACCCCTCCGCGTAGAGGTGGTAATACCTGGCTTGTTGCTGTTATCATGCTATGCTCATGCAGATAGGCAACGCAGGCACGCGGCTTCCCTTTTTCCATGGCGGCTCTTCTGCTGCACTGCAACCAGTGAATCTGGCCACACTGCTCTTAGTGGATGCAATGTGACCATGCCGTGCGGGCTTGCAAGCGACACTGGCGCTATGCCTTCGCGCTCATGGCTTCTGCGCAAGAAGCGATGCAACTTGTTGCAGCGGAGCTTGTCCGCCCATGTGTTTTTCTCTCCTGTCACATGCAAGACAGCCAAGTGCACGTTGCGCAGAGCTGACCATGCGGCTACAAGCTTTAGAAATTTGGCCAGCGGCTCGGTAGCGGTGAGGAGTTTGTTGACGCCGAACACTAGCCCAAAGCAACACACTTATTTTGACAATGCGCAGACAGCACAAATGGACGGGGGAGATGCAACCAGACATCTCCCCTTGCAGTAGTAACACCCCTAAGCGCAACCTGGCGCGCAGAAAAAAACTGCGCGGAGGAAGCCTCAATCCCACCGCGCCACTCCAGGGCGGGCGGGCGGGAATTTTCACTGACGCTGCAGGTACACACAGTCGACGACACCTGCAGTTCCTGAAAATCAAAACCTGAACAACAGGGGGAGCAGCAGGGTGTGGGTGCTTAGGGAAGTGTTAGAAGCATGCACTGGCCTAAAAAACCCAACCGCCGCGGTACAAGCAAACCAACACTAGCCCAAAGCAACACACTTATTTTGACAATGCGCAGACAGCACAAATGGCAGCGGGAGATGCAACCAGACATCTCCCCTTGCAATAATATCACCCAATACGAAGGTGCAGACTGCGCATTGAGGAGGTGGGAAATCAAATCACAAGCTCCAAGACACCGGATAGCCCACCTAAAGGAATGCCAAGCGAAAACAAAACCCATCCAAGAAAAAGAACCCAAGGCCCTGATAAACACGACTGTGAATAAGTAATACAAATTCGCTGCCCGCACACAAGCTCACACGCAATACTATTAGCTGACACTTGGGCCAGAGGACTCTCTCCAAGGCGCACGCAGCAAGTCCAAGATATCAACATCCACACGCTTGCTGAGGTCAAAGCCAACCAGGCGATCCCTGCTAAGGTCGTCTGCCCAGACATTTCTGGAGCCCGCTATACGCGAGCAATGAAGAAAGATACCCAGACGCGAGCTGTGGAAACCCATGGCCTGCAAGACATAACATAAGGGCTCTTTTTGAGACAAGCCACTCTGCGTCGCTGCAACCACAGACTGATTGTCGCACAATTGCTTGACTCGAAAGGAGAAGCAAGACAGGCGAAGAACCGATTTCTCACTCATCATAATCATAAGAATTAACTGCACCAAGGCTTCCAGTGAAGCAATACAGGCCTGCAACTATGAAGAGTCAGCAGTTCTGAACCAGCTCGGCAGATCACACTTGCGCAACTGAAAACTGAACCAATAGGCGCAGCTACGAATTGGAAGAGCACCAACAGGAATCCAATAACCTCCAACCCCCCCATGCAAAGAGGGATTGGCCGTTGCACAGAAACAGCCGACAAGAAAAGCTTGGCAGCAAAGGCAGAAGATCTCGAAGTAGTCACATCCTTGCTCTCAAAGGAGTAGAACACCAAATCAATCAAGCCATCACGGAGACGAAGACATGAGAAGGCCCGCACGTCCAAGGACTTCACTTCACTGCTTCCAATTTTGAAGAGTTTCCAGCCGCGATGAATGTCCAAGTTCGGCAGGGAGCGACTCAGGTGAAGATCCTCACCCAGAGACTTCTGAACAGAAAGGAAGTGATGAGGCAGCACCGAACGGAAAACCTAGCGAGGGCGATGCAGAAGATGATAAAGGGCTTGAAGCCAAGGCCGCAGCCAGGAGGCGCCTCTGGTGTACCAGACCAGCATGCCCACCAGCTTCTCAACATCCTTTTTTAAAACCTTGACTCCGTCCGCGCAAAGTGGCCGTAGGACGGAAGCCAGCTTGTCCAATTTGCAAGAGGGAAGAATAGCGCAACGCAAAGTACAGCAGAATTTCCAACCGATCCAGACAAGTTCATCCCCGAGGCCAACTTCCTCCCACGACAGAGGAACACCCAAGGCAACTAAAAACATCAGAAAAGAAGACGCCAGAAGAGGTGCAACCTCGGCAGGGAGAAGAATGAAACCGTCAACGACGTAGAGCCACAAGCCCTGTCCGATGTAGATCCAGCGATGAAGATGGCGAACAACAAAAGCCCCAACTCTGCTAAACGGCTAAACCAAGAAGCAGCCCATCTGCAACCAAAATAGCAAGTACGGTAGCAATAGAGCTTATCTTGAAACATGAAGCAGGACAAGCCCTGCTACCACCAGCGTGTGAGCGCCTCTGACATCGAAACTGAAGGCCCGAAATTGAAGATTCACATCAGCCCGTGTCAAGAACTGCTGAAGGCAACCTAGACCAGGAAGTCGCAACTTCTCCTTGATATGACAACGAGGATTGGCACCACTAACGGCGCCGTCGCCAATCAGTCTGGGCTTCTTGCCTTATTCCATTTGCCATGTATACGCACATTCAAAGATTCCCATATCAAATTTGAACTTCACCACTCAAATATGAGCCAGGGAGATTCAATCCCATTCACCAATTGTAAGTCAAAATTTAAACGCGCAGACGTAAATGCTCGCACCTCTCTTTTGTCTTGGGGCAATCACACACAAGTTGGTGGCTGGCTGTTTGCAGGCTACAGGCGTAGCAGGGCACACAAACACACACAGGTCTGAACAAGTTGAAGAAGCGCCAGCAAGACGCGAGAACCCCCACAAGGGTAGCCCGAAGAATTTCCACACCCAGTCCGACTAGGACTGTCGACAAGACAAAAAGGCGGGAAAGGGTGGGACAAAAATGTTGGCTGACAAAGCCAAGAGCTTCAGCATGACATGTTGAATGCTTGCAAGTCGGACATGCAAAATACCGACATGGCAAAATCAAGCATGTCATGTCCATGGTGTCATGTTGAAATGTTGGGCCACAAACATTCAAGCATGAGCATGGGAAAAGAATGTGCTGAAATTTTGGACAACAAAATTTCATACATGGCTGGAATAAAGTGTTATCCCACCTGCGGTTGGAGAACATCCTTATTCCATTTGCCATGTATACGCACATTCAAAGATTCCCATATCAAATTTGAACTTCACCACTCAAATATGAGCCAGGGAGATTCAATCCCATTCACCAATTGTAAGTCAAAATTTAAACGCGCAGACGTAAATGCTCGCACCTCTCTTTTGTCTTGGGGCAATCACACACAAGTTGGTGGCTGGCTGTTTGCAGGCTACAGGCGTAGCAGGGCACACAAACACACACAGGTCTGAACAAGTTGAAGAAGCGCCAGCACGACGCGAGAACCCCTAGGAAAGGTTTTGCAGTGCGCGCTTCCATAGGTCCTGCATGTCCACACATACCCAACATGCAACAGGCAGCTTGTCTGTCAGCCCCCTTGACGGCGCGTCAGGGGGATTGGCAGTGCTAACAACACGTTCAAATCAAAGGTTGCAGTTGGAAGCAGCGCCCCAAGAACAAACCTCTTCCAGCATTCTACAAACAAACGGAACGTCGGACTTGCCAATGATAAGGTTGATCAGCACTGCCTCGTGTCTGTAAAGCAAACGGGGTCTCCATCTCGCAGCTTCCTGCAAAGGATGCGTGACGCACCCAACCCCATGCTAAAGTATTGAGAGTTAGTAGCCCAAGGGAACTAAACCACCTAACCTAGGGCGAAGGGATTACGGTGTTGCCCGCGAGCATCGGCTTCAAAAACTCGACACGTTAACCCTATACGCCTAAGACTGGAACGCAGGCGGTCGAACTCGTACCTGCATGGCTTGTCTGCAGGAGTGGCATTACTTGTAGGTGGGTTGCACTTCGAGGCTGTAAACAGATTCAAGGATATCAGAGACAAG